ACCAGAGTAGAAGTAACAGAAATTAAGGAGTAGCGGGCACAATTGGACTTAGGTTGTCGATGGTAGGTACTTTCGTCGAGGGGAGCAGCGCCATGTCTGACAATGTTAAATAGCAACAACAAGTAAGGTAATAAATGTTAGCTTAACTAAGAAAGTTAGAGGAGCCCAATAAATAAAATTCATACCGACAACTGTACGGGACTCTGTTGGATATTGAACGAGTGACGACAGCAGAACCGAAATTCGTGGGGACCGAAGAGGCTACATAGTCGAGCATGTCACTACTGTATTTCAGCTAATTCTTAGCGACAAATCGCACATTAGAGGAAAATTTTTAAGTGTCCTAAATTCTTTTTGGCAAATCTAGTAAATTACATGGAAATATCCTGACAGTGCATTTGATTTCACTAATCGTCTTTTTGGCGTATTGAAAGGTAGCACAAACGTATGGAGCATTGTCGAAAAGGGTCTACTCAGTGGCATTTGACGACTTTCAGTTACTTTCACTCAGTCAGTCGCAGGTGTGGAGCAAACGTGACAATTGAAACACTGCCCAGCCTTCACCGGTTCTGCTTGCCAAGGTTGGTGATGGACTCACGCGGTCCTACGCGTTATGCCATCTTGAATTACTTTAGTTTATTGGTAACGCTGAGCTTTGGCTTTCGAATAGTCAAACCCTACAGCATGCTATCGAATAGAGAATTTTCAGTGTGCCATCTACGCTCACTCACTCATTGACAAAACTGCCGAATGTCTCTTATACAGGGAAATGAAACACAAGCAATAACTGTCTACCTTCGTTTTTCACTTGTTTATGCTTCTTGCACATGCATGCAGGCACTTTGAACTCTACAGTGTGTACAGAAGTAAGTAAGTGTCTGTAAGTCTCCCATCGTTCCAAACTTACTGCGGTTAGTCGGTCATCTCCTATAAGCTGATCTTCTCTCTGTCCACCTATTCTATTATAACTAAAACAAGAAAGTGTCAATGGCATGTAGCATTCTCGTCTCCTAGCCTCAAATAAACATAAATGAGGGAAAAGGAATGAATGCCCTCCTTGCATGGAGTGACCCAAACTGTAAGGTTTTGACAAGGCCCAGCACTGCAGTATTCACCGTATTTTTATCAAACCATGTAGTGAAGTGATTGCTGGCATGGTCTTCAAAATTTGCGTTGTCTCATGCCAAGTCTTCGATAATATGAAGGAGTGCGTTGAGGTGTATGTGGATGGGTAAATGGATAGCGAAGTGCATACACGAAGGCTAAAGTGAATTCTTACGCATGTAGTTGGTAATGTACAAAGCGGGTTACATTTCACAAGGGGTTGGGGCTGGGGTTAGATAAGCATATTTCTAATTTCATGATACAGCGTTTTGCGGAATAGAGTAAGGGGGCATGATTTGATGTGCAGATTTTCATTTTACTTTCCATTTCTCCGTGCTTACAAACCGAGTTGCTTCGTTGCCATGATAAGGCTGCCTACGCTCTCAAACTTTGTGCGCATTTGTTCGTAGTCATCCTCTGTTGCCTGTTCCTCGGCGTCTGTCCACTTGATAGCGTCCTCCCACATTTCAAGTACATTTTGTCGATATTCCTCCGATGTCCTCTGCTTTACCTCTTCGTTCTCTAATTTCCTTTTTATGCTGTAGATGTAGTCCAATAACCTATTCCTTGCTGCCATCCTGCTCCTCTGCTTCTCGTCCTCCTGCTTGAATTTCTCGGCATCATTCAGCATTTTCTCTATCTCCTCCTCCGATAGACGACCCTTGTAGTTGGTGATGGTGATGCTATTTTGCTTCCCCGTCAACATTTCCACCGCCGACACATGGAGAATGCCATTTTCGTCAATTTCGAAGATGGCTTCAAGCTTAGTCTCACCACGCGGCGCCAGTGGGAGACCCGATAGAAGAAACTCACCCAACAACTTGTTCTCACTTGTCATCGCGCGCTCACCCTCATATACCTTGACCAACACACTCTGTTGATTGTCTTTACACGTGCAGTATTTACTTGTCTGTTTTGTGGGAATTCGCGTGTTACGCTTTATCACCGTCGACATCTCACCACCCTCCGTCTCCACACCCAGTGAGAGTGATGTCAATTCTAGCAATATCAAATCCTGCACCGTCTCTGACTTGTCACCAGTCAGATTGGCAGCCAGTAACGTCGCACCGTACGCCACTGCCTCGTCTGGATTTATGGACTTGTTCAGCTTACTGGCAGTGAAGATGTCTTGCAACATCTTCTGCACCTTTGGAATACGCGTCGAACCACCAACCAACACTACCTCGTGGATGTCAGCCTTATTTAACTTCGCATCATTCAATGCCGTCTTCACCGCATTCATCGTCCGACTGAAGAGGTCCAAGCACAACTGCTCAAATCGGGCCCGTGAGAGGTTTGCACTGAAATCTATGCCCTCAAACAACGATTCTAATTCTATGTTTGTGCACTCAGCCGAGCTCAACAGCCTCTTTGCCTCCTCACATGCTTTTCGCAGACGGCCAATGGCC